AAAAAAAAAAAAAAAAAAAACAAACAAACAAAAACAAAAATCATGTCTTCCCTGTCTTTATCCATCATTCCCTTATTGTTCTTGTTCATGTTCTTCTCCGATCTTCCCATCACTCAATCTTCCAACAACAAATCCTCCCTCACCTACAAAACTTGCAAAACCAGCTCTGACCAAAACCCCAACATCTCCCTCAACTTCTGCCTAACGTCTCTCGGGCACGGCGCCACCAGTCTCCGCCGCCTCGGCCTCCTCTCCATCCGCTTGATTCGACGCAACGTGAGCACCACACGCCACCTTATCAAGAAGTTACGAAAAAACAAACGGCTAGACGACCCGTTGATTAAATTGTGTTTGACTGATTGTTTGGAGCTTTATTCTGATGCGACCCTAATGGTGAAACAAGCGCGTAAGGATTACAAGGCCGAACGATACTTTGAGGCAAACTTGATGATCACCTCGGTTATGAATGGATGTTCAACTTGTGAAGATGGATTCAAGAAGAAAATGGTAATTTCACCGTTGACTAACATGAATCATAATGTCTTTGAACTGTCCGCTATTGCACTATCCATCATTAATATGCTTGCTTGAGTCTACAACGTCGTATCATTTTAGAATATGGTATCGTCAAATTTGAGTCTACAACGTTTTAAAGGTAACAATTTGGACAAAACTAATTATCCATCCGTTCATGTCTAAAGTTACAATTTTTTGCGAATTATATTAAATTTTTATTAAGAATATGAATTATATTTGTAAATTAGGCCAAAAAAACACTTATAAAATGGTTGATTTTCTTAAGAAAAATAAAAATCATTGTCGGTACCATGAACAATTCTTGTCTTAGGAAAAAGACAGGATTGTGAGCTGTCGTTGTTTTGTACATTTTTTTGTTCTTCATTTGCATTGAATTCAAGCAAATCCCTTTCTCTTTTTACACTCATAAACTCAAGAAGGTGACTTCCAAACTACTAAAGCACATGGGTTTCTTTCATTTATTTACAAAACAACAAACAAATTTGTTATTACTTATACGAGCGTAACGTACTCGAGAACTTCTTATCTCTTCTTTTGTGAGCGTACCCAAATTATGTAATAGCCCACAGGTTATGTAACAGTCCACCACGAGTAAATATTGTCGATTTTGGCTCATTACATATCATCGTCATCCTCATGGTTTTAAAACATGTCGGGTTAACGACAATTCGTAACGAGCTATGAAAAATATCTACTAGTCGTGAACTTGAACTGTCATGAATGGTATCAAAGTCAGTTACCAAACGGTGCGAGGCATTGGTTGGTGTAGGGCTAGACCCTCTCCATAATAGACGTATTTTAAAAACCATGAGATTGACAGTAATACATCACGAGCCAAAGTGAACAATATCTGCTAGCGGTGAGCTTGGGCTGGCATCAAAGCCACACATGGGAGCAGTGTGTCAGCGAAGACGTTGGACTCCAACAGGAGTGGATTGTAAGATCTCACATCGGTTGAAGAGGAGAACGAAACATTCATTATAAGGGTGAGTAAACTCTCCCTAGCAGACACGTTTTAAAAACCGTGAGACTGACGACGATATATAACAGCCTAAAGTAGACCATATCAGCTAACAATGTCATTTGTAACATGCAAAAGTAAATAATATTTACTAACGGTGGGCTTGAGTTGTTACAAGTTGGGTTAGAAGAAAACTTTTGAACTGACCCGAAATTTCAAGATGGTTGGATTGGTGACCAAAATGACTCAAATTAGGTCCACAACTGGACCCCCTAAATCCGAACGATATTTTCGAACTTTAAAAATTCTACGATAGTCATGAAGTTGGAACGTTTGAAGTTTGGTTTAAAATTACAGCTAAATTCATAGATGAAAAAGTTTCACTCAACAGACGTGGCACATTTTCGTCCCTTGATCCCATCCTTTAATTTTCTATTTTTTTAGTTTATCATTTTTTTTAAGGTTAAATTAATCTCTTAAAAAGCAAAAAGAGAAATAAAAAAAGTCGTCTGTGACATCAAAATCGCCTTTTCTTTCTTAAAAAAGATTTTATTTTCAGTTTGCTTCTCTGTTCCCGAATATCTTCTTTCAGCGGCTGAGCTTCCGATTTCTACAGCATGACAGGTTTCTCTCTCGGTTTCGATTTCTTTTTCATTAGTTTAATGATTATTTACATATGATTTAAGTCGGAGTTCCTCAATCATCAAGAACACAGAAATTTGTGGAATTCTCAAGCTTAGATTTCACTTTTTATCTTCTTTTGTATGATTCTGAGGCTGAATTGAGTTGAGATTTTACTTTTCTTATATCTGGTCTTTTCGCGGTTTATTGTTTTTATTAGGGATTGCGGATTTGAGTTCTTAGGAGTGATTGTGAAATCTTGTTTCTGTTCCTGATTGTTTGATTTGTTTGTTTTTCTGTTCCATTTAGTGCTCTTTTATTAATTCCTGATGAATAGATTTGAATGATTTGATCGAAGAAGCTCTGAAGAATAAATTTCAACTGGATTTTTTTTTGTTTTTTATACTGTTCCTTTGTGATGTTCATATGAATTTCACGTGGCTTTTAAATTACTTGGTTCAAATGCTTTTTGGTAACCGAGTAGAACTCAGTGGATAAATACGTCAATTACTATTCCAAAGGTCGATAGTTCGATCCGTTCACCCGTGCGATGGTTGAACTCAAAAAAGAGCATTAGATTGTAACTCATAGAATTCCTATTGCCTTCATGTGCAGAAGTGTTGTGGACACTGACTTCCTCCTTTGAGTCAATGAAACAGTAACGCTTTAGTTTGACACTCGGACCCATGTTGCCACATTAAACATGTGTTAGACGAAAGTTGTATGAATTGAATTCAAGTACAATGCCAACACAAATAATAGACATGAATTATGATGTAGGATTAAAATAGTAGATTTTGAGAGTTGAATACATCAAAATCTTGCTTTCTTTAAGCGGATAAGTGCATAAACTTATTGACTTTAAATTTCTTTTTTGTCCATGTGTATGTGTGAGGTCCCACATCGGTTGAAGAGAGGAACGAAACATTCTTTATAAGGATGTGGAAACCTCTCCCTAACAGACACATTTTAAAACCGTGAGGATGACGGCGATATGTAACGGACCAAAGTGGACAATATCTGCTAGCGGTGGATTTAGGCTGTTACAAATTGTATCAAAGCCAGACCTCGGGTGGTATGCCAGCAGGGACGTTGGTCCCCAAGGGGGTGGATTGTGAGATCCCACATCAGTTGGAGAAGGAACGAAGCATTCCTTATAAGGGTGTGGAAACCACTTCCTAACAAACGTGTTTTAAAACCTTGAGGAGAAGCCCAAAGAGAACAATATCTGCTTGCGGTGAGCTGTTACAGTATGTGTCTTATATTTTATCATATACCTGTTATCGTGTCTTTGTTGTATCATTTTCATGTCTATATCTCGTGCCCGTGTTTTTGTGCTACTTTTTCATAGGCTTTGATGTCTTAGATAAACTTAAACTAGTTCCTCAAGGACTCTTCTTTCTCCCCAAAATATCTTTGTTTGCAATGTCTCTTCCATTATCCTTTTGATTTGATTTCAAAAACCAACCCAGTTTCTTATTTGGAACTTTCTTTCCTTTCTTGGACTAACTGCTTGCTCATATATCAAACACAGATAACCAACAACCAATATTGGATAAAGGGGTAACTTCTGGTGATGAACTTCCTTTAGCCCATCTAAAACGCTGGCAATGGTGGTTCTTGGTTGCACTCAACATCTTTTTCCTCATTGTGGGTCAAGCTGCTGCTGTTTTACTTGGGAGATTTTACTATGATCAGGGTGGAAATAGTAAATGGATGGCAACTGTTGTTCAAACCGCTGCCTTCCCAGTTCTTTTTATCCCGCTCTTCCTTTTCCGTTCTGCCAAGGATACTTTGACTTCGACTAACCCACCTTCCATTCTAGTTCTGTTGTTGATCTATTTTTCGCTTGGTTCACTTATAGCTCTTGATAACTGGCTTTATTCAACTGGGCTCTTATACCTCTCTGCCTCCACTTACTCACTTGTTTGTGCTAGCCAATTAGCTTTCAATGCAGTTTTCTCCTACTTCATCAACTCTCAAAAGTTCACGATTTTAATTTCGAACTCTGTGATTATCCTTTCCTTGTCTTCTGCACTTTTAGCTGTCGACGATGATTCAGAACGACCTGCTGGAGTCTCTAAGTCAAAATATTTCTTTGGCTTCATCTGTGCCCTTGGAGCTTCAGCATTATACTCTTTGCTGCTTTCTCTTATGCAGCTTACCTTTCAAAAGGTTTTGAAGAGGGAGACCTTTACCGTGGTCTTGGAAATGCAAATCTATACATCCATAGTTGCCACAATTGTTTCAGTTGTTGCTCTTTTCGCTAGTAGGGAATGGAAGAGTTTGCCACACGAAATGGCAGGTTTCGGAAAGGGTCGAGTTTCATACGTGTTAACTTTGGTGGGTACAGCCGTGGCTTGGCAGACTTGTTCGGTCGGTGTCGTTGGCTTGATTTTCATCGTCTCCTCCCTCTTCTCCAATGCAATCAGTACTGTCTCCTTAGCTGTTACACCCCTTGCAGCCCTTGTAATTTTCCATGACAAGATGAATGGTGTCAAGATCATTGCTTTGCTTCTAGCCATATGGGGTTTTGTGACTTATTTATATCAAAACTATATTGATGAATCCAAGGCACAAAGAAGGCGAAACGAAACGGGTGAATCCCGTGTCGAGAGGTCCCCTTGTTGATGGACCATCTGGTGCACCCTGCACATATAGTTCATGATATTTTACTCTTTTTTTCAGACGGATTCATCTGAAGTCTCCATTTTCAACAATAGTGAATAAATTCCTGATAGACAGAAGCAGCAGACGAAGTCTTCTCGGTACACACACAGAGGTATGTTTATACTATTCATTTAGCTCAACCTTATTATTAGAAAAGACCGATTCATTTTGATACAAAACATTTGTAATTAAATAGGTTAGTCTTCAATTATTACTCTTCTGTGGCATTCCTATGATTTACTTAGTTTCATGACAGTATGAAAACTTGTAGATTTGTGGCCTTTTAAGTTTGCAATAGTGAATAGCATGTCGACATATCGATAGAGATGACCGAAACCATTTGAATAATCGAATACATAAGATCTCAAACGAGTAACATTTTCTTGTTCCAACTGAGGAGTAGATACCTGAAATGATATTCTTATTTAGGTCACGGTTCTTTGTTTCTATATTTGATTGTTTTAAGGTTGTTTTTAAGAGCTGGGATGAATTACCCACCCTACAGACAGCTTCGAGAGACCTTAAGGACCACATGATTTTAGTTTGGAAGAATTTATGTATACCTCGACCATTCTCATAAAACAACTATTTGATCCTACTATAGGGTGAATCGCCCGCTCTAAAGACAGCTTCGAGAGGCTTGAAAGACCAAATGAATTTAGTTCGGAAGAACTTATGTATAAACATTCTCATAGGACAACTACTTGATCCTACTATAGTGTGAATTGCCCGCTCTAAAGACAGCTTCGAGAGACTTGAAAGACCACATGAATTTAGTTCGGAAGAACTTATGTATACCTCGACCATTCTCATAGGACAACTACTTGATCCTACTATAGTGTGAATTGCCCGCTTTAAAGACAACTTCGAGAGACTTGAAGGACCACATGTATGTAGTTCTGAAGAACTTATGTACACCTCGACCATTCTCATAGGACAACTATTTGACCCTACTATAGTGTGAATTGCCCGCTTGAAGGACCACATGAATTTAGTTCAAAAGAACTTGTGTATACCTCAACCACTCTCATAAGACATTTGATCCTATTATAGTGCGAATTGTCAGCCCCTAAAGATAGCTCTAAGAGACTTGAAGGACCACATGAATTTAGTTTGAAAGAACTTACATATACCTCGATCGTTACCAAGAAAACTCATAGAACATTAAATCTGAGGTAGTTGGCCACGTGACTCAAACTCATTCCTTTTAAACACAGTCTTTATTGCTCATCACATCAACACCATCATTTCTAGCACGTATTGATTCTCGAGGGAAATTACCTGCTATAAGGTCAAACAAGCACACCTCTAGTTTCGCTACTTTGAAGTTCACGAGTTTTACTAGTACATCGAAGTCTTTTCTTTAAAAGACGCGCAAACATGGATGTTCTTACAACTAAATGACAGCTCATTTCTTGAGTGCAAGTTAAGTTTTAACCGATGATGGAATTGAATTTAAAATGTGATGAAGATGAAGCTCGTTCGTGATTTTGTTAGTGGGTGTGACAATAAGTGGATTAATTTGAAGTGGGTAACATAGGGCATCAAATGCCAATAAATACAAATAAGACCTAACTCCAATGGGTTCCACATCTAAAAGAAATTGAATCTTACCCAACATTGGCTAATATTAATAATATTATTATTATTTTAATTAAAATTTAGTTTGGTTTTTCAAAATATAAATGATGCCAATTCTACCCACTTTCTAAAAGGGTATAATTGCCACTTCTTTTTTGTGGATTTGCTTTACATAGACGACACGTTATTTCAATCACATACTCAATAACTAAATTGATAGATTCGTTTGATATATCCGTTTTCTTTTTTTAAATTTAGGGACTAAAATAAAATGAGGTAAAAATTAAAACGAAGGACAGGGACTGAAATGAACAAAAGTTGAAAAAATTATTCATTTAGCTATACTCGTATGCTGATGATGTCGATTATTTATGAATTCTTAACCATTCAACTTTTTTGATACTCAATTCTTCACATGGCTTCCATTATCTTCATGTCATCAATATGAAGACCATCCATTATGAACCTTCACAAGTGGATTCCAAATAGAAAGAAGAGAGAGAAAGGAAGAAGAAGAAGAAGAAGAAGAAGAAGTGGAGATACTGTTTGATAATGATGTTAACAATGTTGTTCTTTCCACTATTTTATAACCCCTTTTCAAGTTGTGCTTTCTTCATCAAACATGGCTTTGGATTAAAGATTAGTGTTAAACTTACAAGTTTGAACTAAACCCATCTATAAATTTTTTATTTTGTGTTATTTCTCGAAATTTTATTAATTTATTAGACACAAAATATAGTCTTTTTTACCGGGTAGTTCGTTAATTTTAAAAAATATTGAATATGTCGTAAAGTTTTTGAACCAAATATATAATTTAACAAATATTTTTTTATTTAGCTGTGAAATATTGGAATTTTTAATCTTTGAATCAATTGAATTATTTGAAATGTAAGAGTTATTTCAAGTCGTTGTACCCTTCACAATTCTTTCAAAAAGATCGAGAAATTATTTCAAATCATTTTTAAATTCAATCGATGTATTCATAAAGTTCCTCGATACATAAAACCCTAACGGCATTCAATCTTTTCCTAAAATCCAAGGCAAAATCAGACAGAAAAAAAGGAAGTGAAATGGGATTGAAAGATTCCAAAAATAAAGGACATTGATGGTTTGATGGACAAGATTTTTGACCCCACCGCCACTCTCTTCCTAGTTTTGAACTCGCTACGCGGTGGTTGATCCACCAACCACCCTACTCCACCGCCGCCACCACCACCGTGTCCCGTTCGTTGACTTTTTTCATAAAGTATTACGGTTCAAACGAGAGAGAATAGGACGAGACTACCCCTATAAAAGAAAGTTATTAAATAGGTTGGTCTATCTATTTTAGTCTCTGAATATCTATAGGTTCCTTTTAGATTCTCAAACTTTTTAAATTTATATTTTAGTCCTTAAACTTTCAAATAATAATTATTTGGTCCTTATTTTACTTTAATTTTGACAAATTAATCATATGACTTTGAATATGTGCGGGCAAAGGGTAAAAATGATTATTTTATAAAAGTTTAGGGACGAAAATAGACATTTGGAAAGTTCAAGAACTAAAATATAACAAACTTAAATATTCAAGGACTAAAAAAATAAAGATTTTTTTTTTCAGTTGTCGATTTTACAATTACATCACCACAAGAGCTAATGGAAGAACTATAGATTTCTCCTTAGATAAAACCCGCTTAAGAGAATAATTTGATAAAAAGTCAAAGAAGCACATCTCAATCGTTCATAAACAGTTTCAACCGAACATATTCTAAACTACAAAATATACAAAGAGAAGTACCCAACCATTTAAGTGTCCAATTTGCTACTATAATTATTAGGGTTTCAACCATTTAGACTTTAAACTCATACTTTATGGACTTAGATTAGTACAGTAATGTGGACCTTACGGGTGTAGAAATTTGACTCTACCTTTATTAATTTATTAGTAGCATATTAATAATTTTAGTATAATCTTAGGTCATTAACGAGTGACAATAAATAAATATTATATTAATTTAGTCTCGTATTTTTTAATTATCATTAATATTCTTGTACTTTAATTAGGGCTTACCATATTAAATTAAATACGTGAATTTAAGTCAAATTTGATTAAAATATTTAGAGCCACTAAAATTTATTGGATTTTTTTTGTACTTTTGGAGTGAAACCAAAACCACAAATAACTCGTGGCATTCAATTTTTATTAATTCCCACTACAAATAGAAATGTTTAATTAATAAAAAATATGAGGACCCAAATGCAAAAAATAATACTTTTTTTCACATCCATTAACGACAATAATATTGATTTTTTAAAAAAATAAATAATAATAGAATTTTGAAAAATACAAAACAAAAATAATAAAAGTAAAAGGACAAGAGGTACAATTTAAACAAATAGATTCTAGTAGTGACAAATAATAGCATTTTTTTTTCTTTTCTAAACGTTATCCAATTGATTTTCGAGAAATTAAGGTCACTTAAATAAATATTTTTTGAAATTTTGTAGCCGTACACGTGTTGCCGCCACATCCACTCGATCAAATCTTCAACCACCAGACCAACCACAACCCATTTGGCAACAAGCATTTAATTTCATTATTTAAATTAAATATCTTTGAATGAATGAATAAATAAATTAAATTTTTCTAAGAGGAAAAAACCAGATTCCATATTTGAAAAATTAATAAAATAAAAAACATAATATAAACTGAATTTTTTTTTCATTCCTGTGTAATGAACATTAGTATACATAAATAAAATAATAATAATTTTTTCTCTTTCTTTATTATTATTATTTTTTTTTTATCGATTTTTATTTTTTTTTTCAAACTTTTACAGTGAGGAATAAGCTGAAGATGGTAAGTAATAATAAACAATTGGTGTTGAGAGAGAGGAGGGGCAAAACCGTACTTGTGTGAATTGTGTTTCGAGTGAAAGAGGTCGAATCAGCACCGTCTATTTGGATGTCAACGGTCTTCAAAATCAACGGTTCGCATTGACTCTTCCGAAATCCGCAAGTTTTCGAGATCGGTTCGCGCAAAACGACGCCGCTTCGGAGAGATGAGGCTTAGTCGGAGCCCTAATTTCTCCGGTATACGCCAATTCCGTCGGAAGTCCTTTCTGGTTCCAGTGGCGGTGGTTAGGGCTAGCTCTCACCAGCGGACTCAAACAAAACGCGAGACCAGAAACGTTCCGACTCAGTCCTTGTCTCCCTCGCCTCGCTGTCGATCCGTGAGATGCCGCCGGAGACGGTTTCCACTTCGAGGACTCGGAGGAGTATCCACTCGCCGATGGAGATCCATCGCGGCGATCGTCGTAATCTCCGTCCGCCTCACTCGCTCCTCCAGCCGGCGACATTCCTCGAAAATAGAGTAGCTGCGGCTGCGACGGCTTCTTCCTCTGATCCATTGCTTCTTCAATTGAGCAACACTTCGGCTGCTTGTTCTTCCGACGGGAGAACATTGACGAAAGCCAAGTGGAAGAGGAAGAAGACGAGGAGGCAGGATCGCAAGTAGAATGAGAAGAATCACGAGGAACCGAATCCAATTTCTCGGATCTGGACCGGAAAAGACTAGACCAGAACGAAAATCTACTCCTCTGTTTCCTACTAACAGAACCAGTAGTAACAAAAGAAGAAGTAGAAATACCGCCGCCGTAATAAGTAGGTTGAACCTGTGGAGTACTGTAAAAGCGATGATGAAATCGACGATGTCGCTCATCCAACGGACTCTGAAAGCTCCACGACGAGTCCTCAACCTTCCGCCGCGAGACATACGGAGAAACAGAGCGCGGAAACACAAGAGGCGGTGGTGGCGGAAGAGGATCTGACTTCCTCGGTAGATCCTCCCTCGCATAGGAACGAAGTCGAGATAGCTGCACTTGGTGAGCCTCCGCCCTAGCCTGAGCCGCCATTAGAGAGAGAAGCCGCTCCCGAAGACATGTAGCACAGACTCCAACAGCACTTGTGACGTCGGAGAGATGCTTCTTGCACCTCATTCCGCGGCGGAAGGGGAGAAAATCAAAAGAATCGAAGCAAATCTATACGAAACCGAAAACAACAATGAATCGAAAGGAATTGAAAGTGGAATAAAGAATCAAATTGAAAACCAGATTGATGAGGAGGAAGAAGAATTATGATGACGATTACAGATACGGAGAAGCATTTTTGAAAATTGAAAGAGATCTGAGGAAGAAGAAGAAGCAGGAAAAGGAGAAGGTTTGTCTTCTTCTTTTGTCTCCGAGGGGAATAAAAAGGTAATATCACTCTTATCATACGTCTCTGAGAGAGACATCAACTGAGTAATATTTATATATTTATATTATATATATATATATATAGAATTAACTTTTTCCTTTTCTTTTAAAAAGAAATCAACTTAAATTATTTATTTAATTTTCACTCTTTGCCTTTATCTTTTCTATATTTCAGTTTGGTACTTATACTTTTGCTTTTTGCTTTTGGGGGGTGATAGCTTATTAGCTTATGCAATTAATATGCGTGTTTATATATATATATATATATATATAATAAACTTAATTTATTCTATTTTATTGAAATTGTATTATATATATATATATATCTATATTTATTTATTTCTTATTCAATTTTAAAACAAATTCCCTTAAAAAATGAAAATGTTAAAAATTTTAAGTTAATATTTTTAAAAGATTAATTAAAAAAATAATTATAGGTTTATATATATAGCATCTTATTCTCATTTTTATTTTTTATTTTTTGCAGTCAACTTTAAAAGAATTTTTTTTAATTTTTTTATATAATTGTTGTCTTATCTTATTTTATTATTGGCCTTTTGTGGAATTTTGAAGGTTAAAAGATTATTTGGAATCTATGAAGGAACGTGAGGCAGGCGACAGCACATACTGTGGGGCCCGCCTCCACCAATTACTTTCGATACGGTTAAACTACTTTGAACCGGTAAACGGTAAACATTAATTAACAAATAAATATTAAATTATAAATTTACTCTCTATTTTATTTATTTATTTGAGGGTTGAAATTTTCAAAATTACAAATTTAATATTTATATTTTTTCGTTTTTTAATTTATATATTTTTATATTTAAATTTATATAAATTAACTTTTAAATATATATATATATATATATATAAAATACTTTCGAATTATCAGATTTTAAAAATATTCATTAACTTTAAAAGTAACATTTAAAAGTTTGTGAATAATCTATAAAGTATTGATATATATTAAACATAACAAAAGGACGGGAAGTGGGGTTGCTGCGTTATTATTCGTTTTAGGTCATAGGAAAAATATTTCTCCACTCCCATTCCCGCTCCATGCTCGTGAGGGAAGGTAACGAACCTACATGGAGGGCATAAAAGAAACTTCGTCTTTTTTGGACATTAGACTCTTGTCTATTATAATTATGTTATTTTATTGATTACTCATTTGAAAAATTGATATTTTCTTTTTTTTAAAAATCATTCTAGCTCGATAGAGTTGACCTTTTGACTTCAATAACTTTTGTTCCATTAGGATTTGATTGACTTTGAAAAGGCAACAACTCCCATCAAACTCTTAAACTTGTCGCGTTTACAAAATACAATTATATAGTTTTTTTTATATATAATTTATAAAAATATTGACCGAAATAATTTAAATTAATAAATAAAAGATTTATGGATTATTTGAATTAAGATTGACATGAAAATGCAACAACTTTATGTCTCTCTTAAAAAATACCAAATTATTTTTTGAAAATTTGGTATTTTCTCTTTTTTTTTCCCTTAATAATTGACTTTATTAAAAAATGAATATTAAAATGGCTATTTGATTTTGACAGAAGTGTCCGTACAAAAAAAGCCATTATTATTATTGTAAAAAGGATTATGTCAAAAAATGTTGAAAATAGAGTAATAAATTCACTTATTTAAATTTTGTTTATTTTAAAATTTTAATTATTTTTAGGAAAAAGTTTAAAATGTTTGATTACGATCCAGTATCAATGTAATTTTTAAAAATTTATGAGTATTTTTTAAATAATAATAATAACGATAAAAAAAATATATATATATATATATTAAATTTAAAGATATTTTTTAAATAAATTATAATGATGTCTATTTAAAATTACCTAAAATAATAAATTTAAGAATATTTTTATTAATTTAAATATTTAAGGGTGTAAAAATTTAATGGGTTAAAATAAAATATTGGATTAGAAATTAAATATTTTTAAATTTAAAGAAAATAAAAATAAAACTGTATGGTCAATTTTCAGAGTTGGCAACCACCTTGCTTACAAACTGTCGGGTAGTAAATTCCATCACCTATAAAATAAATGATTATTTATTGTTTATTTCTTATTTTTATTAATATATTGTACTATATAATTTCAATATTTCCCTCTATTTTTAATTAATAATATTTAAATATTTCTTTATAAATTTGCCCTCAAATTAATTTTTACTTGAGATTATTTACAGCATTAATTATGATATTAAATGTACTATGCCAGATATTTATTCTCCAACAATATAAAATATTTATTTATTTATTTTTCATAAATAAATTAAAATTTATATATTTAAATAATTTGAACTAAGGTGGTAAAAAATCATGTCTTTCAAGTTAAAAGTTTAGATCTTTATATTACATCTGTAGTAAAAAAAAAGTTACCTCGAGATCTATTAACTAAAAAAAATCAACTTCTTGAAAATGTATAAATTTGATAAAAAAAAATATAAAAATACGAAATATCGTAATAGTCTCGTCCAATCATAATACTCGGCACCTAACTCGAAAACAACAACTAAACTCAACCAACACAAATGGATGTTAATATCTCAACAACTCGTTCACAATTAAATTAAGTTCCATGTGTTAAATTTGAACGTGTATACTATTCAAAAATAGTTTATACTAAAAAAATTTTATGGTATAAATAATAGACGATAATAACTCGAAGAAATGAAATTAAAATATTATTAGTTTAAGATTTATATTAAAAATAAATTTTGTGTTATAAATTTTTAATAATTTTTATTTTTATTTTTTAATTTTTTATCTAATTTTTTTTTAAAATCTAGAACACGAGCTCTTTTAATATGTTTTGTCCTTACTCACATGCATCGTAACAAAATTTTTAAGAAGTTTTATGATCGAGCTACCGAAAACAAAAACGCACTTTATTAGTATATATATAGTAACTTTTACTTATTTTCAAGTATTTCTTAATTATCCTTCATCATAATCGCTCTTGTTCGGATGTATCATCGATTCATTTATGTAATCCTTACTTGATATCACAAATTTAGTTCATGAATTTTAGTATAAATTTTCATCGAAATAAAGTAATAGTACTATTACATGATATGTTATGAACAGGTAGCCCTAGTAGTGGAATGGGCACACAATGTGCATATATTGTTGACCAATTTGGTTTTCCTCGTGTAACGTCTCAAACCCATTGCTAGTTGATATTGTATTTTTTGGGCTTTCCGTTAAGGTAAGGTTTTTAAACGTGTCTGCTAGGGAGAGGTTTCTACACTCTTATAAAAGGAAAACTCTAAGAGGATAATATTTACTAGCGGTGGGTTTAGGTCGTTACAAATGATATTAGAGCCAGACACGGGACGATGTGCTAACAATGAGATAGTGTTCGCTTTGGCCCGTTACGTATTGCTGTCATTCTCACGGTTTTAAAATGTGTCTACAAGAGAGAAGTTTCCACACTCTTATAAGAAATGTTTTGTTCTTCTCTCAAACAAATGTGGGTTCTCACAATCTCCAAGACAGTGTGCCAGGAAGGACGCTGGACCTCGGGATTGGGGGTCCCACATTCATTAGAGAAGGGAACGAGTGCCAGTGAGAATACTGGGCCTTGAAGGAGGGTGGATTGTGAGATCTCACATTAGTTGAAGAGGAGAACGAAACATTCTTTATAAGAGTATGGAAAACTCTCCCCATAGACGCGTTTTAAACGAGGAAAAACTCGAAAGGGGAAAATAAAAAAAAGGACAATATTTAGCGGTAACAGGAAAGCTTCTCCAGCAAGCAAGGGAGGAAAGTGGTAATGACAAATTTCTTATCGATGGTTTTTCCACATAATGATGAAAACCGTGCTGCTTTTGAGGCTGTCGTAAGGAAGGCATGCTTTATCGTAGTCATTTCACATATTGCTTCTTTAATTTGTGTGAATAGAAATAAATGCTCAAACATAGATGAAAAAACATCTTTTGGCTGCATATATTTCGTGTTCGAAGTGTAGACTTTTTCTCCCGTTTAAGCTGTAACAGCTTAAGCCCACCTAAATATTGTGCGTTTTGGCTTGTTGTGTATTGTCGTCAGCTTCACGGTTTTAAAACGCGTCTACTAGGGAGAAGTTTTCACACTCTTATAAGAAATGTTTTGTTCCCCTCTATAACTGATGTGGGATCTCACAATCCAACCTCCCTTGGGGGTCAGTGTCCTCGCTGATACATTGTCCGGTGTTTGGCTCTAATACTATTTGTAGCAACCCAAACCCACTGTTAGATGATGTTATCCGTTTCGACCTGTTATGCATCGCCGTCAACTTCAGGATTTTAAAACGCGTCTACTAGGGAGAGGTTTATACACCCTTATAAGAAATGTTTCGTTCTCCTCTCCAACTGATGTAGGATCTCATAAAAGTCAAGTAATTGGCTTGTTGCATTTAGACGCATGTGATGTGACCTCAGTCCTAATTTGTGACTAGTTTCGACACCATTATAAGAAATGTTTCGTTCTCCTCTCCAATTGAGGGGAACGAAGCATTCCTTATAAGGGTGTGGAAACCTCTCTCTAGTACACGTGTTCTAAAACCATGAGGCTGACGACGATACTTAACATGCAAAAATGGACAATATCTACTAGCGGAGGACTTGGGTTGTTACCAATGGTATCAGAGCTAGACACCAGACGGTGTGCCAGCAAGGATGTTCGGTCTCCATGAGAGGTGGATTGTGAGATCCCACACCGGTTGGAGAGGGAAACAAAACATTTGTTATAAAGGTGTAAAAACCTCTCCCTAGTAGACACATTTTAAAACCGTGAGGCTGACGACGATACGTAACAGGGCAAAACAGACAATATCTATTCGTGATGGAAATGATGAGGTGGGACATGAAGAAGGCTTCTTGTACATACTGCCATGTTTGTTTGTTTGTTTTGGAAGGTTGTAGTTTGAAGCAGTGATACAATGCATCAGCAGCAATATCCTTGT